CCCCTACCCATTCTATGGTGAAAAAAATATTGAAAATTTAAAGAAAAAAAAACTGGAATACACAAAGAGCTTATGACCAAAGGGGACCTGAAAAGAATAGCATAGCTTAATTCAACCATAGTTAGTTGAAACCTAATTTAAAAGTATAACTATTCGGACATCAAGAAAAAATAATGACAATGTATTAATGAGTGGGGAAGGTCTTGATTTCGTAAGTTTATATCTTAATAGATACCAACTATGTTTCCAATATCACTGAACTGTTCTTTAATTCAAATGAAACAACTTTTATATTATTGTTGATGGAAAGTGTCACAAGATGTCAACCCTATAACTTGGCTCATTATAATCGATAAAATATTTTCATAAAAAACCAGGATCTTTCGAATTGTGTCATTGTCACTGTGACTAAAATGTCATATGAAATCAAAATATTAAGTTTTTTTTTTGTTTAAATGGGAATTTCCCTCAACACTTTGGTGTAGTTTTAGACAAGTAATGTTCATGGTCCAATTGTACGAAATGAAATTCTAAAAAGTTGAAATTGTTTTTGTATATCCAAACTTTGTGCATAATCTACACATTGTTGTGTTTTGTGTACTGTTGTTTGTCTGTTGGTCTTTTTTCCGTTTAAGACATGGCTTTGTTAGTTTTTTTTCGACTTATGAGTTTGAATGTCCCTTTGGTATCTTTCGCCTCTCTTTTTGAAAGGAATGCTAAATACTAGGTAGTTGATACCCTCAATGATAAAACTCCAACAGCAGGCAGTACCGTCGACCCAGTGATTGTCAAACTCCAACAGCAGGCAGTGCCATCGACCCAGTGATTGTAAAACCTAATAATCTACTCCTTGAAAGGAATGCTGAATACTAGGTAGTTGAGACACTCAATGATAAAACTCCAAAAGAAGGCAGTGCCATCGACCCAGCGATTGTAAAACCTCATAATCTACACCTTGAAAGGAATGCTGAATACTAGGTTGTTGATACCCTCAATGGTTAAACTCCAACAGCAGGCAGTGCCATCGACCCAGTGATTGTAAAACTCACACAGCAGGCAGTGCCATTGACCCAGTGATTGTAAAACCCCAACAGCAGTCAGTGCCATCGACCCAGTAATTGTAAAACTCCAACAGAAGGCAGTGCCATCGACCCAGTGGTGTGAAACTGCAACAGCAGGCAGTACCATCGACCCAGTGATTGTAAAACTCCAACAGCAGGCAGTGCCATCGACCCAGTGATTGTAAAACTCCTACAGCAGGCAGTGCCATCGATACAGTGATTGTAAAACTCCAACAGTAGGCAGTGCCATCGACCCAGTGATTGTAAAACCTAATAATCTACTCCTTGAAAGGAATGCTGAATACTAGGTAGTTGAGACACTCAATGATAAAACTCCAAAAGCAGGCAGTGCCATCGACCCAGTGATTGTAAAACCTCATAATCTACACCTTGAAAGGAATGCTGAATACTAGGTTGTTGATACCCTCAATGGTAAAACTCCAACATCAGGCAGTGCCATCGACCAAGCGATTGTTAAACTCCAACAGCAGGCAGTGCCATCGACCCAGTGATTGTAAAACTCCAACAGCAGGCAGTGCCATTGACCCAGTGATTGTAAAACTCCAACAGCGGTCAGTGCCATCGACCCAGTTATTGTAAAACTCCAACAGAAGGCAGTGCCATCGACCCAGTGATTGTAAAACCTAATAATCTACTCCTTGAAAGGAATGCTGAATACTAGGTAGTTGAGACACTCAATGATAAAACTCCAAAAGCAGGCAGTGCCATCGACCCAGTGATTGTAAAACCTCATAATCTACACCTTGAAAGGAATGCTGAATACTAGGTTGTTGATACCCTCAATGGTAAAACTCCAACATCAAGCAGTGCCATCGACCAAGCGATTGTTAAACTCCAACAGCAGGCAGTGCCATCGACCCAGTGATTGTAAAACTCCAACAGCAGGCAGTGCCATTGACCCAGTGATTGTAAAACTCCAACAGCAGTCAGTGCCATCGACCCAGTTATTGTAAAACTCCAACAGAAGGCAGTGCCATCGACCCAGTGGTTGTGAAACTCCAACAGCAGGCAGTGCCATCGACCCAGTGGTTGTAAAACTCCAACAGCAGGCAGTGCCTACGACCCAGTGATTGTAAAACTCCAACAGTAGGCAGTACTATCGACCCAGTGGTTGTAAAACTCCAACAGCAGGCAGTGCCATCAACCAAGTGATTGTAATACTCCAACAGCAGGCAGTGCCATCGACCCAGTGATTGTAAAACTCCAACAGCAGGCAGTGCCATTGACGCAGTGGTTATAAAACTGAAACAGCAGGCATTGCCATCGACCCAGTGATTGTAAAACTCCAACTACAGGCAGTGCCATCAATCCAGTGATTGTAAAACTCCAATAGCAGACAGTGCCATCGACCCCGTGATTGTAAAACTCCCAACAGCAGGCATTGCCATCGACCCAGTGATTGTAAAACTCCAACTACAGGCAGTGCCATCGACCCAGTGATTGAAAAACTTCAATAGCAGACAGTGCCATCGACCTAGTGATTGTAAAACCTCATAAAATTTACCAGGCTTATAATAAAGTATTAAAAGTTCGGAAAGATTTCTAATTGTCTAGATAGCAAACCATGATCGCACAAACATCATCATCTAAGTAAAAGTCTTCCTTTTTTATGTATTTTTGTTTGTTTAATTTGTATTTTATTTTTTGTTTTTGTTTTCTAAATATTCATTTATTTATTTTATATATTTATTTTTTCTGTATTATTGTTTTCTTTCTATCTTCACTTTTCTGTCTTTTGACATAAATCCATATATATATATATATTAAATAAATATACCATTTTATACATGCATGCTCATACATTTATTTTGTATTATATTGCTATAAATGTTGAATGGAGAAGACTTCATAAGTCTGTTTGACTTGAGTCTTATCCAATTTGTACTTGAACAAATAAAATATGTTTAAACTAAGTATGGCAGATGCGCGTTTTGTCTACAACAGGCTCTCATGGGTGCTCGAGCTGATCCGTTAGGAAGGCAATTCTATATTAACAGAGTTAAAGAGTATCTAAAACCCTAAAATCCAAAACGTTGTTACAAATTTGGCTTATGCTATTGAATGAGTGTGAGTAATACTTTTTATCTTATCGACTCTCAAAGTCTTACTCGATCTGGAAATTATTCGATTCCTTCAGGTTTAAGTTTATAATGGTTCATCTTACGTGACTTCTGTTCACCACCCTAAATGTATCCGATCTGTCCATATACTTGTCGCACATTTAGGTTCATGTTCTGTCCAAAAAGAGAGACGAAAGATACCAAAGGAACATTTAAAATTCAAAGTCGAAAATAAACTGACATCTTTTTATATCTATCTATTGACAACGCCATGGAAAAAAACAACAACAAAAAAAAAAAACAAAAAAAAACAAACACCAGTATACAAAACACAACATAGAAAACTATAGACTGAGCAACACGAACCCCGCCAAAAAACCGGGGATGCTCCGGAAGGGTTGGAAGATCCTGTTCCATTTTTGTAATAACTTGTTTTGTATCTTCTACCTTTAATTCGAAAATATGACACAATAAAAATGTTATGTTACTAACTTGAGCAATACGAAGGGTGCCAACTGTGTAGCAGGATCTGCTTACTCATACATCCCCGGTTTTTGGTGGGGTTCGTGTCGCTCAGTCTGTGTTTTGTAGGCTGTTGTTCGTCTTTTGTTTGTTTGAATACTCATTTTCATGGTATCTTCCCTCTCTCGGTTTTGATTCGAGCGTCACCGATGAGGCTTTTGTAGACGAAACGCACGTCTGGCGTACAAAGCTATAAGCCTGTTATCTGTGATGAGTGTTTTTATGACTATTTTGGGGACTGTTCAAATGAACGTGCAAATAATACACAAACTTGAAAATTGCGACAATTTGATTAATATTTCTTTCTTTTCTTTTAACCCAGTTTTTGGTGGGGTTCGTGTTGCTCAGTCTTTAGTTTTCTATGTTGTGTTTTGTGTATTATTGTTTGTCTGTTTGTCTTTTTCTTCTTTAGCCATGGCGTTATCAGTTTATTCTCGAGTTCGAATGTCCCTTTTGCTATCTTTCGCCTCTCTTTTAACTGGCTATTCCGAAAACATCATAACATAAGGAAATGTGGTCTGATTGCTAGTTTGTCACTTTCCCTTCATCTGAAATAAAACCAGTGTGCTGTTTTGATTACGCGTGCTATAATTAGACAACAAAAGCACTATATTTTAATAATTTCGAGTTGAAACAAGTAATCATGCATGAATGATTTTGTTTACTTATACACGCATATACTGCATATTTGGTACTTTTCTGTACTTGTACAATTATCTTTAACCTTCTGTTTTATTTAGTTATCTCGTTTTTGCCTATCCTTTTTTAAAGTTATATAATCCAATCTAAGCTAATTGCAGGTGCTATGTTATCGAATAATGTCACAATGACATGTTCACGGTTCTGATAAAATTTCATAACATGTGAAAGAAATACACAATGTGCTTAGGTCTGGTTACAACGAAAGGAAAGATGTTCTACACTTGTAACTAAACCTTTAAACTTTGTTTACATGCTCAGTCCTTGAAAATAATATCTAATAGAAGGTTTTAAGGTTTTGGAGTTGGAAGATTTTGCCAATCGATACTACACTTTGTAATGTGATCCAATTATTAAAGGCCTAAACAATAAGAAGATTTAGTATTTGAGTACAACTACCTACCGGGGACTCGGTAGAATAAATGCCATAAAGCTCATAAACTATAATATTAGGCATTTCTATTGATAGTGGCTTTACATTGAAGAAAAAGGAGCGGTATGGATCAAGTTGCACAAGGAATTTTTCAATAGGTTTGAACTTACAAATAGTCCATTCATAGTAAACATGACTTTATTTTTATGGTAATTTAATTGTTTAACGTCCTTGTTCGGGTTGCATAATTTTACGATATGCAAATTAGTTGACCAAGGGATAAAATTTATCACTTGAGAAATGGGTTCCTCATTTGCTTGTTTCTGGAGCACCCTCCTGTGTTAGAAAAGATGAGTTAAGATGTGTATTTAGCACAGTAAGTTGCTGTTCTTAAACTCCGTGTCTACTTTTATTTTCCATTTTAAGAAAGTTTAACTAAATAATTAATATCTTAATTATATATTATATCTTTCATTATTCAATAAGTTAACACATTATAAAATAATTAAAAGATTGTTCATAAATATATGTTTATTTTTGCGCAAATATCAATACCAGCCCATCTTGTTTTTAATCTTCAACTTAATTATGATAATAGAATATAAAAACAATTACTTACATAGGAACTAATAAGTAATATAAATTTATTTTGTTTAATAATTATAAATCAACTATTTGCATTTTATTTTCTTTAATGTTTTATTCAACATTTAAATAAAAGAGTTTTATTTTGAGTTACTGGTATAATTTTCCATGACGTAAAATTCCTTTTCAAATCAAACATTTAAGAAATACAAGCTATGCTTATTTTTTTAACAAATGTGTACAGATTGTTTTTTTCTAATCCAATATTAAGTATATGCACCAAACTAAATTGAAAATATATTTATTTTTATCATGATGAATTCAAATAATCTTGGTTTTAGTAAATTGTGTATTTAATCTATTGATAAACATATAATTTAGATACGCCAACAGCACAGCAATGTCTATTTAATATATCCATTAATTTGTCCTTGAGCGAGGTAATATTTTATAACGTTTTCCTAATAGTTTTTAAATTAATTTCCTAGTAATACTTGTATGTTGTGATGCCTTGCATACATTTTCTAATCAATAATTTCTTAAATGTAACTTGAAAAATTTGTAACTTTAATATTTCAGTCTAGTTTCTACGAATTTAAAAAAAAATTGATTTGTAGATTTTTGTAACTATCCGAATTGAACCATATTTAAGTTTTATTATTTTTTTCTTAAACAGAATTCATCATTGTTTTACATCTTCTGCATAGACATTATTTACATTGTCTGTATTTTAATCTATTAAAACAAGCATGCATTGCTGTAAAAGCTACTTGATTCATAAACCTTATGGTGCGTTGATGTATCTGCATATTTTAAAAATCTAATAAGTATGATTTACCGCAGATTGTCTTCTAATGCTAAGTATTTCTGCGAAATATTGTAGAAGAACACGATTCTGAGGCATATAAGTTCCGTTTGACATAAATGGCGAGGAAACAATTGTCTTGCCCGTCTTAGCCAAAGTGTTTCCTCTTCTAAATGAATACAGATTCAAAGTTTATGTTTGCTATAGCTGAGTTGCATCGGTCAAAATTTCACATTTATCCAGATAACATTTGCGTATTCTATGGAGTGTTTGTAGTTGGCAATACAATTTCATAATAGCTTTCACTATATTACTAAAATGCAGGTTTCATGTACGTTTTTTACAGGTCGTGGTCTTTTATTTATATTAAACTTACGGCTTTTGCTTGTCCAGTTATCATATCTTTACTTTTTTTTGAAAATAATTCCGGCGTTCGACAATGACGCTGTGTATTAGATGCCTTATGAAGTAATTTTATTTAAAAAAATTTGTAGCTTTACAGAACTAACGTAATCTTTATTAAGCTGTTATTTTCAGACATTTTTGTGTTCCTTAAATTATTTCATAGGGTTTATAATTTTTTTGGTTCCAATGAAAGCTAACGAGGGAAATATAACAAAAACTATTTCGTATGCAACAAAGCTTAATAGTAACATGTTTAAAATCTTAAACCATTTTTCTCATAATAAGAAGTTTTGTTCTACTTGTAGTTTTAATTTTTTAGTTATATTTCATATCTTTTTCCAGTTCCACTGAACATGATATTCGCAAGATCATACATGTCTGTATACACGTTGTTAAACTCGTAATCTTTCATAGATCAAACATAACGACAAATTAATTAAAACAAACATTATTAACATTATAAACATTATTGCTTACCCTTACGGAGCACCTGAGATCACCCGATTTTTGGTGGGGTTCGTGTTGATCAGTCTTTTGTTGTATTTTGTAAACTGTTATTTGTCTGTTGGTCGTTTTTCGTTTTTTGGCCATTGAATTGTCAGTTTGTTTTCGACTTATGAGTTTGACTATCCCTTTGGTATCTTTCGCCTCTCTTTCATTAATCTTTGAAATTATATTTAAGTCCCCTTAGATGCACATCATTCTTTTTTCAGTTAAAAAAGTGAATGATATCTTTAAAATAAGTAAACAATTTCACTTAGTAAAGTGCAGTTTTAAACTTATTGCATAATAAATTTCCAAAGCAGAATATCACAGAAATGTTGAATTATAACCTTATCAAACTATACTTATGCATATTTCATATTAAAGGTACATTTTGTAACAACATTATTCATCAAGCAGTGTCTACATTCATGTATTTTTTAAAAGATAAATATAAATCAAATACGGACAAAGCAGAAAGTCCGGAAAAAACATTGATAGATGCAACTGATGTATATTAGAAGTTTGCACAATGCAAGGTTAGTTATCAATTCTACGGTTTGTCATGTGCTAGTGGTACAATTTTATGGATGTTGTCTGTCTGTCTGTATGTGCACAATTATGAATACTCAAGTACAGATGTTCGATTTCCTCTAAACCTCGATTTTTTATATATATGAAAAACGTCACGATTAAAATATCAGTTTAAATGCCACCAATATATTTGTTTTTATCAAGCAAGACTCTACTACTGCTTTGACGTCAAGATTGTGTGTAGGGTGTTTTGAAACATTCCAAATGTGACTAGGAAGTGTACGAAAATATTGTAAACAAGTGACAGAAAATATTTAGGGAGTAATTGTAACACAAAAATAAACCATTTTCATTAAAATCCACAAACTATAATTATTTATCGCTAACATTTTATTTCCAAAATTTAATTCGTTGTTTTGTACAACAATATTGAATGTGCTACATTAGTAAAAACAAACAAGTACAAAAGTTGCAATTTACAAAAATTCTATAGTTCTCTGTGTTAGCCGTTTTTCTTCTTTTTCTGTAATTTTTATATTGCTTATGATCTGTTTTTTATACTTTAAGAATTATTTCTTAATATATGTTTTTATAGAGAATATATTTTTCGGGTTTTTCTATATTTGTTAATTTTTGATTTTTTTAAAGTTTTTTGCGATACACACGAAATTTGTTTTATTGACGCAATATTGAGAGTCAGAAATTTTCTTTTATAATTTATACCGTTCACAAAATTTATTTCTGTTTCTTATAAAAAAAAAATAACTAAAGAAGCCTCATCCTCTAGTTGGTGTTTACTTCTTGGTCCAAGATAGAAAATATTGGATGTTATTCAAATTTCAAAATTATGAATGAATGTGATTTCGATATTCCTTCATAGAGGAGACGGTTTTTTTTAAAGAAAGTATCAACAAAGAGTTTCTCATTTTTTTCTTTTCTTCAGATTAAACTTTCAAAACATGTTTCGTATTGATCATTTCAAACTTTCCCATAAGCTTCAATGATAAATTATTGTTGTCTCAATACAACGAGATATACGTTGAATTATTATCACAAACAATAAGGCCGCCATACTAGAATGTAAAAAAAATGATTGTTAATTGAAAATAAAATTATGAGTTTAGTACTAGGAATGTAGTGACAGCACCAGAATACGAAACAGAAATTTGTCTTTTCTGTTTATGTCCTTTTTAGTTTTGATGCTTTTAATATATCATGAACTTACTCTAATTTTCAAATTTTTGGCTTGAGCATTCGTAATGAAGGTAAACCCAGAAAAGCGCTTCTGACACACGAAACTAAGAATTTTGTTTATTTCATTTACTATTACTTGTTCGAAACCATTGTCGGTTGACGGTTAGTCCCCAATGATATCATCAGCTCAGGAGTCAGTGTTTCTGTATATCTAATTAAAATTCCCCAAAATTACTAAGAATCAAAGGACCTAACTCCATCAAGCAAGGTTGACCATAAATGAATTTGGCTAATCTGCTTAATTATATAGCTCTAAAGTTGTAGCATATTTACTCTTTCCTGCCTTTCAAATGTTTAGGTTTGAGCGTTGCTGGTGAAGGTAAATCCAAAAAAGCACGAACTTTATTACATGATTGTCTAATTGACGTCGAGGCCTTTTAAGACCTTTTAAATATAACTTCCCAAACTGTTGGCCTCGAGTATACCTGATAAATTGTTTTCCAGAAACACATGTCGTGCGTAAGGAAAAGGATTTCACACGTCTTTATACAAGGGGAAATCAAAACACTTGTATGTATCTTTCTATATATATATATATATATATAGAGAGAGAGAGAGAGAGAGAGAGAGAGAGAGAGAGAGAGAGAGAGAGAGAGAGAGAGCCTAGGTGGTTGAGTGGTCTAGCGCGTCGGCATAGTGCAAGGCGATTTGGTGCCACGATGTCTCAGTAGCATGAGTTCGAATCCCGGCCAGGGAAGAACAAAACAAAAAATTTGCTTGCGCAAATTTACAGATCTAACATTGTTGGGCTGTTGTTTAGACGTACTATATATATATTTATCTACACATTTGTCTTTAGTTAAAGCCAACAATGTTAGAACTGCATTTGTGTACTTGCACATTTCTATGGATCCCTTATTTGTAACACAAGTTGTTGTTTACATCAATGGCAACACTGCGTGCACTGTGTTCATCGCCTTATACCACCCATACTGCTAGGCTGTATGATAGCTCATATACAATTTCATATATAAGAACAGCTTTTTAAGTCAAATACACTTTTTTTCATAAAACGTAATTGTTATATTTTACTTTGTAGAAAAAGAATAAGACGGTATCGATTGAACAATGAACTCCCCTAAACCACATTAGAAAGCAGAGGGAAATCAGGTTCTCCAGAAGAAACAGCAGTTTTCATTATACTAATGGCCACTGTTATTTTATCTGTGACCAGTGATGAATCATTTTGGATATGTTAAAAAAAACAAGGAAAAGACGGAGTTGTAGCCGTATGACAAGTGGAATACTTCATGGTCATTTGTGACAAAAATTACGATACTAAAAAAACAAAGTCATACAAAAATGAAAACAATTTCAAACCTTCAATCGTAAAAGGAAACAATCGCTCATGTATTTTGTAAAATCTGGAAGGATATACAGACTGTATTATTTAAAGCAAAATCGACATAGAAACATTTTACGACTTTTCAATCTTTTTCAGGTATATTAGTTTCAGCACACCTTTCTTTTTTTCATTATTATAAATACTTATCTTTGAGTACAGAAACAATGAAATAATGCATCTAACTTGACAGTGCACGCTGAAATTGTTTTGTCTGTCAATCAAAAAAATTTTAAATTTTTTTCCTGATTCCTTTATTTCATTTTCAAGAACTTTACTTTTCCTAACATGTAGAAGGAAAATAGTAAATAGTGTTTGGATTAAAGCAATATTTGTTTAATAATATTTGATTGTCATTAAAGGCAAATAAACACAATATCATTGGTTGAACTGTTTCTTAAAACTTGGACAACTACGTTTAGTTTTCATTCTTATAGATTAATTGATTGTTGCTTGCTTTACAGCAAGTGGTAATTATGTATGCGTATTAAGCCACCATTAACAATTTAATCAAACGGTAGATTCCACGAGGTAGGCCGACAGGAACGTAGAGCGGGAACTTAAGACTGTCACTGGAAATGGGAAAATGTTGGATAGAGGCAGTAACATGTCACATACGGATCCACCAAAGAGTTATTGCATGGATTCTTTAACGTGCAGAGAGCGTGGTACTCTCTGTACACATGAGGCATTGGAATTAAAGTCTCGAATCCGACGAGACAGGGCTGCAAATATATACATTCGCAAAGCCAAATGGACGCCACTTTTAGGAAAGGGTTTTACTGCAGGTTGGAAGTTACTGTTTTTCTAAACCCAAGTCACCTTTGTTGTCCAGTTTTCATTTAGTTTGGTTTTTATAAATACTTGACTTGTATATATCAATATTTTCTTCTAAAGCTACGCGGTGTACGTGGTATAGTTTTGATTTGTCTTGATTTGCCTTGACTTGTTTAATTCCACTTTAATGCAAATAAACGTAGATATTTACGAAAGTATGATCTATGTTAATCATTCATGATTGAAAATTGGAGAATCAATGGGTTTCTTTGATCAACAAAATAGGGTATTTTTACAAGAATGATGTCTAAGGAAATCAATAAAAGGAAATTATGATTAAAACGTAAACGCAAAGAAACAAAAGTAAAGACATACAGAAATAATAAAAAAAAACTATATGCAAAATAAAATAGCAAATAACATATGCCATAATAAACTTAAAAACAAGGCGGAAAATTCAAAAACAGAATGAAATAATCGTGAACATAGCAGCCTAATCGTCATCTTGGAAATACTATTCTTTAAAGCAACTCAAGTCATTCTTTAGGTGTATTTCAGGTACTCGCAAGAATTATAAACTTGTTAAAATTGAGGAATATGTCATTTAATTACAAGGCGGTATACACGTTCAGACATGAACAAACTGGTTATTATTGCAAATATAATATTTAAACGATGATGCATATTACCGAGAACGCATAGCTTAATCATCATTTGATCAAAGTTATATATTAAAATTTGTGCATTTATTTCCATTTGTTTTTTTTTTTATCTTTGAATATAATAATTGAATTGAAAACCTCTTATTTTTCAAAAATTGTAAAAAAATAAATTTGTATTTTCAATGCACACTATGTTGACTTAATTAACGGGAAAATATCAATGTTATGGTAGCTTTATGATCTCTAAAAAAGTGAACATGAGGTCAAAAGACAACAGTAATATATCGATGTTCAAACTCGTAAATCTATTTGGAATATACTAGTACCAACATAGATCTAGATCCCGAGGGATTCACACACAGAGAAGAATCAGTTACATTGCCAATGTTTACCCATCTTGAAATGAATGCCACACCCACCATGTGACTCCGTAAAAAGGTCATGACAGGGAATAAGACACAGTGGGTATTGACAGATTGACAGCAACGTATAAATTATACTTAACGTGATATCATTTCAATCGTTGCTTACATTTATATAAAACTAAGAACATGTGACATAATTACCAATGAGACAACTCTCCACCAAGGACCAAATGACATAGATGTTAACAGCTATAGGTTACCGTACGGTTTTCGACAATGAGCAAAACCCATACCGTATAGTCAGCTATAGAAGGCCCCAAAATGACAAATGTAAAACAATTCAAACGAGAAAACTAACGGCCTGATTTATTTACATAATAATGAACGAAAAAAAAAATGATATACAGCAACAAACGACAATGTTAGCTTTGTATGAAGAAGGTCCATTTAAGACGTTGGTCTCAAATTATTTTTTTGTTCAATTCATTAGCTCCTGTGACTTTTGTTCAATGTAAAATTAGCAAATTAACACAAAAAATTGATATTTCAATAAAATTACTTTCATTGATTTTGTAATCTTAAAAGACAGATAGAAGATACCACAGGGAAAGTCATAAATCGAAAACAAACTGACAACTGCATGGCAAAAAAACGAAAAACTGACAACATGACGGCATAAAAACGAAAAACTAAAAAAGAACAAACAATAATCGACAAATCACAACATATAAAGCTAAAAACTGATTAACACAAAAGTGAATTATGATTAATTCATATTGTGAGACAAAATTGGCAAAATAAATGACTGAATAAAATGATAAGGAGTTCAACACTAGAACAATGACAAATTATAGCCAAAACGTTAATCTGTTAATGTAAATAGAATATCCGGAATGTGAACAATATATCGTTTCTTGGGATGAATTGTTCAAAATAAAGACAATTTTCTCAACTTCAGCGCTATCTTACATATGTGTACATTTATGAACTTTGTAGATAAAGACAGTTAAGAACAGGTTTATATCTTGATATAAAAGATCATGTACTTTGTAGCCTAATATAAAATTGTTTTCTAAAATATTTGTGATACCGTCTAGGTTACATATTAAATACACATATGAGGGCGTTAGCCCGATTTGGTGTATCTAATTTACACCAATATATTATTGTCAATGTAGAGTGATAGTTTGATAGGAGGGGGACTTTCAGCGATTTGACCATATGTTATTGAAAAGCATGATAAATGCAGGGTATTCTATTTTATTTAAAAAGTAAAATAACAAAAATACTGAACTCCAAGGAAAATTCAAAACTGAAAGTCCCTAATCAAATGTCGAAATAAAAAGCTCAAACACGTCAAACGAATGGAAAACAACTGTCATATTCCTGACTTGGTAAAGGCATTTTCGTTTGTAGAAAATTGTGGATTAAACCTTATGTTATAGCTAGCTAAACCTCTCACTTGTATGACAGTCATATATACTTTGTATCGACATTTAAGGAAAAGTTGTTCGTGATACTTACTATTATCTTGTATTTCGTTGTTGAAATTATGTTTACATGAAATGATGTAATGATGGAGTTTCCATCTTAGCATTTTATATATATTATCATTTAAATCATACAAACTGAATTGTAACATGTTGCTTGTGGATTGATTGAGTTTAGTATCCTGAGAGAATCCTGTAAATGTTTTACTATTCTAGCTGGTTATACATCTTCAAATTCTTTTATTTTATTTATGCCATTGACAGTAACGGACATGTTTAATACTTCATAGAATTTTTGGAAACAAATTAGAGTTTCAATATAATTAACCGTTCATTTGAAATTGCATCTTTTTTAGTTTTGACCATTCTGAGGTCCAGTAAGATTGTAAGGGTAATTCCTCCCATATCCCATTTGTGAAATATGCCTTTTATAGTCAATTATATCATTGATGTACACATGTCATCTTTTATATAATATTATCTAATTTGGAAAACTGAACATTTTCCTTTGAACTTTTTATAATATATATATTTAAGTAACAAAACATATTTATCCATTAAATGCATGAAACGTAAACTCTGTCTTGCTATCTCTCTAATCATCTCCGATGATTTTTTTTTTTATTAAACAGGTTATTTCAAACTCTTCTCTTATGCAAATTGGAGCATAAAAGAGCTTAGTTCCCATGAAGTCATACCGATACATCAATATTCAAATACTTCAGGTGGAATAAAACACACGGCTACGTATGCAAATTTACCTAATTAGCACTTCCTTCTATAGATACGGTACCAACTAATCGCGATTAAAACAGCATAATAAATGAAGCATATTCTTCCTATTAATAAACAACCGAAACTTCATGCACATGCATCTAGAATGTAACAAAATATGTACAATTTGTAAGTAAACAAAGCAAAATAAAAAAATAAACTCAAGAGAAAAACATTTTACAATACATATTTAGCTAAAAACATGTTGGTCTTTCAAAATCTTTAGCAAGCAAAATTAAATATCATTTGCTGTCATAAAGACAAATCTCAGGTTTTATTCAAGATAGTCATTATTTATTTCAGCTTATTTATAAAACAGCGGATACAATGTTTAAAAACAATATTAACAAAAATACCAAGGTAACTCCAAAAAGGGTGAGTCTGTAAAACCTGACAAAATCTAACTCAGACTATATATCAACAAACGGAACAAATAGAAAACCACTGTTAGATTCTTGACTTGGTACAGGCATATTTCAAGGAAAATGGTTTGTTTAACCGGGTTTTTTTGCTAGCAAAACCTCCTACTTGTATAATAGTTTTTTAAAGTTCGTACGCTCAAACGAAACATTTGAACATTTCTGTGATTTTCAGTCGCTAACACCTATGTTCAAATTGAAAAACGTTGTTAAAATCCTTAATGAAAAAAGATAAGCACCGTCTTTTATCAAAATGTCAGTAGAGAAAATTCTTTTGTTCACCTCATCTGTATAACCAGGAGTAAATTATTTGCATTCAATTTTTATGGAGCTCTACACTCATTATGCTATGTTTCACTCAGGGTAAAACTATACAATATTAAGAAACAGCTCGATTGGAATAGGATGAAAAATTTGAAAATATTCCGAAAGCCATCACGAGTTGGTTGACTGTTATGGAATATCTATTTCACAGATGACAACGGATATGTTCCAATTGTCGTAACCACAATTCGACCTCTTTTCTCGAATGTGACTTCTCGAATTAGACTTATCACCAGATTTGGTTTTTACTTACATGAGCAACATGACGGGTGTCGCATGTGGAGTAGGATCTTCTAACCCTCTAGGAAGACTTTAGATCGCCCTTTGTTTTTGTGTGGTTCGTGTTGCTCAGATTTCAGTTGTTTATGTTGTGTTTTGT